GTATTCCGCCCGCACGGAAGAGCCTGGCAAGCTACCCGCTGTGTATTCGATATGCCAAGACCAGTAACTACAACTGGTCTCATTCGCCATCATTTCTTATAGCAATATAATATCCATTGTGTTTATATATATGTATATGTATATTGTATACATATATTACAGTTTACATGTATACGTACATATATATCACGGCAGAGCCTGGCAAACTATCCGTGACGTATTCGATATGCCAAAAACAGTAGCAATAAAGAGTCTCATTCCCCTGACCCTGAAAGAGCCTCCAATACGGCAGCATTGGGAAAGACGAGTAAGGAGAGGCTGCTAAGATTTCAGGGCTGAGACAAATGCAGACATTACTGGTGCCCACTCGAGTAAATCGATGAACAACGGGACGACATTGATGCAGTGATCTGAAGGGATAATACAGAGCTTCCTACAGCTTAGGGAATGCAGAACCTTGACACCAGTTTTGCAACAAGAATTAAAGGAGCTTCTTCAAAGGACAGGAGAAACTTCCAGCACGTGGCACTGAGTGTGGCACTCACTCATGATGTTTCTGGCTACTAGATTAAAAAAGGTATCTTTACTGCTAAATTATAAGGGATTTTATATATTTTAATAATGAATTTATGTTTCATTTACGTTAAATGTTCTATATCTGATCAGATTTGTCAGTTATTATCACAGCCATAGAGATTCTATCACGATCTTTTATTAATACAAAAGCTCAAGCCATATAGAAAGTCCATATTCATTTGTGTAGGATAAAAACACGTTTTTCCTTTTGAGGCCTATTCAGATTTTCTCTTGATTCTTTTCACTCAATAAATTTTACATTTGTAGTCTCTACCTATTTTCATTTAAAATGTAAAATGCACTGGCATAGAATTATTCGTAATATTAATTTTTTAAAATCATATACCTCAAAAAGGATAGGTTTTTTTTCAAAAAGGTTAGATTTTGAAAAAAATAATTTTATTGATTTACAATTTTGTGGAATTTCAGGAGATGAACTGTATTTATCTATTTGATAACTGTATTATCAGCACTTCCACAACACAAAAGAAAAGATCTCCCACATGTGGGATAAAATAGCAACTACTACAGGTCCTCGGAACTGGAGATGTTGTCTACAGAAGTGTCTTTGGGTGGAGAAGGAGCGCCCGGGAGAGAGCGGTCCCTGGTGATGGGTGTGATGTCGGAGAGACCCATGCATGCAAAGTGGGAGAAGCAGTATCGTAAAGCTCGGGGCTTCGATTAAAATGCTCAACCATTTCTTTAAAATTCTTCTCTTTTTGCAAAAGTAAGGAGCGCTTTGTCAGGTTAGTGGCTTGCAGGTTCTGCGGCTGTTTAAGCTCGGTGTAATTCTGGAGACCTAAAATGCTCTTGCCGCAGCCCTTACCTGGGGAAAAGAGAAGGCCCTACTGGGAGTCGAACCCAGGATCTCCTGTTTACGAGACAGGCGCTTTAACCAACTAAGCCATAGAGCCGTCCGGAAGCGGCGGCTGCCGCGGAATCTACCTCGTTTCCCTGGGCGAGGCCCCCCCCCCCTCCTGCCCACCCCTCCCATTTGCACCCCCAACCCCGAATTTGCAGGATCTAGGGTGATCGACAGCCGAGGGGAAACCAACGCAGCCCCGCCACGTGCCTCGATTCCTTCCGGGGTGCGGGAGAGGCGGGACCCGAGCCCCGAGGAGCCTCTGCGGAGTAGTGCGGGATGCGAGTGGGGTCGGGGACCCCCGAAATCTAATGAGGATGTGGGAAACGCACCCTGGGGCCCGGGGTTCCCCTCGTGCTGGGTCCTCGCCTGCTCCGGGGGCGCAGTTCCCCGCTCGGTGCTTGCACCCGGCAGGGACCCCCACCACCACTACCCCCTCCCCCGCTTCTCCCGGGGTCACCCCCACCTGGGCGGTCACCGGGCCGAGGCTTAGAGCAGGAGGAGGGCGGGGAGAGTGGGATGAGTGGGATGAGGGATGAGTGTGCGTGCACGGGGACCCCAGGACTGCAGGGGTGTTGGACGGGGCGACCGGGAACTGCACGCAGAGACTGAGGGCGCCCAGCCCTCCTGGAACCCGCACGACAATTCTTTCGGGGTCCCGGGGGACCTGAAGTTTCCCCTCCCCCCCAGCATCCCCAATAATGTCCACAGATCCCCGCCTGACTTTGGGACTGGGGCCGTGAACAGACTGAGCTAAAAGTGGGTGTGACCGCGCCGAGAGCACTGAAGAATTAGAGACTGAGTCTCGCGGCGGGAGCGGCTGAGGACAGGCGAGCACCTCTCGGGGAGTCCTCCAATAACGAACAGTTTGCAGAAGGTGACAGGGGCGCACAGTCGCCTCGCCCGGGTTTGCTTGGACGGGGCGCAGCTTTGGCAGCTCCAGTTTCCTTGGGTCCCACGAAACCGTCTCCCCTGGGAGCGAGCGCGGGGTCCCTCTGTGGGGACCCCCAGAGTCCACGTTTGCTGGACCCCAGTTAGCGAAAGCCTTCCCCTCCCCCCAAATCCTCATAAGGTTATTTGTTCTGCTGCCAACCCCCCTGCAAAATTCACTCCTGTGTCCCGGCCCCCAACTCTCTCAGTAACTGGACCCTAATCTCAGCCTCTGTTTACAGGAAACAGAAGCCAAACGGTCTAAGGGGAATGCGGAGTCTCTAGAGCAAGACATTTAATACCCAATCTGGGCCTTTGGCCATCCAGTCTCAGCTTGGTGGAATCCGGTGACCAGAGGTCCTTGGGGTCCAGCGACCACCACTGTCTATGCAGACCATGAGCAGATAGAGCGTCTACACGGTCACTGGCATGGGAGAGATAGCACAAAGAACTGGGGTGCGGGTTTTGCATATTGGAACCCTGAGTTTGATCCCTGATGCTGCATGAGATCTCTTGAGCACTGCTGGAAGCAAGCACTGATCTTGGAGTAGCCTCCTGGATGTGGCAAAAAAAAAAAAACCACACAATATAGTAACTGCCACAGGGGTGATGCTTTAGAGGTTCCCCCTCCAGGAACCGGCTGCTTAGCAAAGCTGGGAGTGAGGCGAAGGTCTGAATCCTGCTTCTGAGACTTTAGAGCTTTGGAAACTCTTAAAAAGCCTCGTCTGGCCCACAGCGATAGAACAGCAAGTCGGGCACTTGCCTTGCACCCAGCCTACCTGGGTTTGGTCCCTGCAGCCTGTATGGTTCCCAAACTCACCAGAAATGACCCCTGAGCAATGAGCACAGCCGAGTGTGGTCCAAAAGAACAACAACAAAAAAAAATCTTACACTGGAAGGGAAATGCAGTGGGTGCGTTAGATTCCCAGCTCTACCTAGGGTCTCCTGGGCACTGCCAGGAGCGAGGTCTGAGAACAGCTGGGGTGTGGCCAAAAAATGGGGGGAGGGCAGAAAAAGAACATTTTGTGCTCACTGTAAACCCTGAGCACAGTTGTGGCCCAACCCACCCTCCTCAAAACAGAACAAAAACACAGTGTGCTCAGCATCACCTTGGCGGTGCTAGATGCCTGGTCGGCGGGTCGGACATCTCTGGGAAGACCCGTCTCAGGCTCCTTTACTCTGGCATATCTACCCAGAAGGAAAATTTCTGCAGTAGTAGCAGTGCCCGTGATGGGGAGGAGGATGAGCACCATGACAGTGACAGGAAAGCTTTAGTTATTGTAAGAGACAAACAGTCCCAAGACCCTCCCCATGAGAGCAGGAATCAGGGTGACTCTCCACCCCTACCCCAAACCCTGGGGCCTATATGGGACTTTCTGTGGAGAGTAAGAACTGTTCTAGGGGTTGGTGAGGAGAGAAGAAACAGAAAAGTTTCTCTCTCTCTCTTTTATTTTTTTCTTTTTGGGTCACACCCGGAGATGCACAGGGGTTACTCCTGGCTCATACACTCAGAAATTACTCCTGGCAGTGCTCGGGGGACCATGTGGGACATATGGGATGCTGGAAATTGAACCCAGTTCGGCTGTGTGCAAGGCAAATGCCCTACCCGCTGTGCTATCACTCCAGCCCCCAAAAGTTTATCTCTTTATAAAGATTTTTGCATCATCACCTCATTCGTCATGGTCATCTTCAGAAAAACAAAATGCTGAAGCATTCGGTAAGGTGGTCAAGAGGGTAGGGGCAAAGTGAGAGAGAAAGAAGTAATTTGACTTCAAGGGCCACAGAGATAGTGCAGTGGGTAGGGCGCTGGTGGCCAGCCCGGGTTCAATCCCCAGCATCCATCCTGGTTCCTCCAAGCCCTACCAGGAAGAGTCCTGAGCACTGCCAGCGTGCCCTCCAGAGCCCCAACCCAGGGTGGAAATAAAGGGAAAAGAAGTAATCTGACTCCAGACACAATACGAAATCGGGAGCATCACAGGAAGTGCAGCTGCAACAGAGAGTTTTAATTTGAGACAGGGATCAGAGTTACGGGCACTCGGGGTGAGGCAAAAACTCCTCCTTGAGAACGAGGGGACATCAGTGCCAGGGTGCCGTGACCTGAATGCACAAAGGGACAGACACCGGGCAGGGGTCAGGGAGGGTCCAACCCCGAGGGGCTTGGGGACCCACCATCATGGAGATGTCCCTCCTTCCCTCTGAGGTGAGCTTTCTGCCCTCGTTTCCTCAAGAGAATCACACAGGAGAGTTGATCAAGGGTCCAGCAGTGCAGGACTTGGTGGCAGAGTCTGTGGGAGGCATCTTGAGCATCTGATTCCTTGGTTTTTTTGTTTTGTTTTTTAACTTTCAGCAAGGAGAAACTAGGGTTGGAGTTGCCTTTCTTAGCAACACAGGGTAGGGTGAGCATCTACCTTGAAAAAAGATTTTTCTTTGGAGTGGAGATCAAATTAGGGGGCGAGGGCAGGGGAAGTTGGATGTTGGGGGCCAAAGATTTGGTCTTTTGCTTTTCTTTCACCTTCAAACACACTCACATTTGCATCCGTGGGTGGTTCTGGGGGGTGTGCTACGCGGAGGGCTGGGGGAGGAAGGCAGAGCAAGGGGGACTCCCCTAAACCTGTTCTTCCTTGGAGGGGGGGCTCTGCTCTAGCAGAAAGAGGGGCGGGGCGGGGGTCTGGCTGGCTACTCAGTCCGCTTCAGGTACTCCAGGATGTCAGACTTGACGGTGCTCACGGGGGCCTGATGGAACCAGCGCATGACCGGCACACCGTCCGGCCCCACCAGGAACTTCTCGAAGTTCCAGCGAATGTCGTGGACCTTCATGGGCTGCCAGAAGAGGTGGTCCGGGGAGCCCAGAACATCAGAAGTCGGGGGGCAGGAGTTCTGGAGAGAGACACAAAGCACGGAAAGGCAACCTGATTTCTTTGCTCCTCCGTTTCCACACCGTTTGGGCTAGATTTCACTCTAAATTGAATCCCCGTTATTTTTCTCAGCATACATAAGCCAGTGTGTATCTGCCCCGGACAGACTCCCAGTGAACCGCAGACCTTTCTACACACCCAGCACTAACACAGCAGCTGCGATGCAAACAACTGAGTATCAGAGAACCAGGATGACTAGAAAACGGTTCTTTCCTCGCGTCTCCACCACCGCTGGGATTTACCCATGGCATGCCAGCAAAAGACCGTTTCCGCTAGTTAGTTAGAACGTTTCTATGGTTTGAGATGAGAGTGGGTGGGTGGGTGGGTGGTTTGAACATGACCTGGTGGTTCTCAGAGAACCAAACCAGGGTCTGCCGTGTGCAAGGTCAAGTACTTTAGCCCCTGTCCTATCTCTTGGGCCTCTGTAATCTTAGTTTTCTTGTCTAGAAAAAAAAGGTGGGGGGGGGGAGGCTCCATTTAAATTCAAGGTACCAGAAGAACTGCCTTTTGGTAGTTAATGTAGAATAACCAACAAATTCTTTTTGAAAATGTGAAAGTTAAGTCTACCCCACACTGAACTGGACGAGTATTACAGGGAGTGGCCTGGGGGTCTCCTGAGCATGGATTTTTTTAATTAAAAAAAAATAAAAAGAAGCTCATCATAGCTGTCCCATCAACAGTAGCAGACGGAGGCTGGGGGTGGGGAGGGCTCGCGGCTGAGTAGGCTTCACAGGCAGGAGTTTGGGCTTGAGCTCCTTGAGGCAAAAGCACCGTCAGAGGCGGCCCCCAGCACAGCTCGGTGTGACCCCAAAAAGTAACAGACTTTCAGTATTTTTTTATGCTTTTTGGGTCACACCTGGCGATGCACAGGGGTTACTCCTGGCTCTGCACTCAGGAGTTACTCCTGGCGGTGCTCAGGGGGCTATATGGGATGCTGGGAATCGAACCCCGATTGGCCGCGTGCAAGGCAAACGCCCTACCCGCTGTGCTATCTCTCCAGCCCCAGTATTTTATTTTATTTTATTTTTTTAATGTAGGAGTACTGCTATTTATTCAGCCACTGATTAGGCTGATTGAATTGGGCATGAACTCCACAATTTTCTGTATTTGAAGAATATAAAACTGAGAGCATCACCAGATTTAAGCAACATGATGACGATTTATATCCACCTAATATCAATATGAGGCTAAATGGTGGTATTTTATATTCAGTAAGTTAAACTTTGTTTTAAAAACACTCTCTACATTGTCTTTATTTTTGCAGTTTATTGTGGATGAGTCCAAGTGTTCTCTCTCTCTCTCTCTCTCTCTCTCTCTCTCTCTCTCTCTCTCTCTCTGTTTTACTGCACCCTACTGCACTCAGAGTTCACTCCTTGCTCTGTGCTTAAAAATCACTCTTGGCAATGCCAGGGATGGATCACATGCAAGGTCAGTGCTTAACTGGACCCTGCCCACGATTGGGTGAAAGTTTGAAAAAGACCTTGTTATTCTGAAGACCCCCATTTAGGAAACTTGGACTAAAAGATACTTGTGATTCCTCCATTCTAGTCTTCTGTGGCCCTAACATTCTGTGACTCCAGCATTTACCATCCACCACTCTACATGATCTATTTCTGTATCCCTGATAAGATACTATTTTCTTCAGGAAAGAGGCTCTGCCTTTTAATTATTTATTTGCTTGCTGGGGAGCACAGCACAGTTCCTTTTATATACTAGGGTATGACAAATGACTGCTAAATAAATTACTGTAGTTCATGTCAGAACTATGACACCACATGCTTCCCTACTTGAGACAAAGGTCTCACAACAGATATTGTCATAAACTTGAACTTATTTGAACATTTATTTGAAGTAGTCTAACCTCAGTCCTAGACACAAGCTCCATGCTTTCCTGACATCCCCTACTGGGCCAGTCCGAGGGAGGTTTCTGTTCACTTACCTTCAGGAAGGTAAAGATCTTCTGCTCTTTTTCTCCATTTACATCTCCTTTCTCAAAGAGTTGAAAGTTGGGGACAAATCCACCACCTGGACGTACATACCTACATAAAGCAGAATATTCCCAGGAACCAAGTTAAGACAAGATTAAATGGCAATGGCTGCCCACCTGCATTAGAAAGAAAGTTAGAGGTGAAGAGGAAGATGTGTTAGACAGGGGAGGTAGGAAAGAGTGGTCTCTGGGGACCAGGGCTTTATATATAGGCTTATGGGACCGGTAGAGAATTCTAAAAAAGTGGAAGGCCCCAAGCACAAAAACTTTACAAGTCTATAACTGTACCTCATGGTGTTTCAATAATAAAAAAAAAATTTAAAAATTAAATAAATAAATAGATAAATAAATAAATAAATAAAATAAGTGGAAGGCAAGGATAGCTCAAACGGCTGAAGTGTATGTTTTGCATGTGGGACCCCCAAGTTCAATTCCAACACTGTAGCATCCCCCAAGCCCCAAAGAGTGTATCCCCCCAAAAACTTTAAAGACAATAATTCAAAGTCAGAATTCCTGGTTCATTTGTTTCAAAAGCTGTCTCCTTGCTCCTGACCTTCTTCTCTGTAGGATTTTTCCTTGATCTCAGAGAACTCAAAGATAGTACACTTGAGTACCAGGAGGCTAAGATTGAATTCAAGGCATCACGGTGATGTTTTCAAACCTATTGATTTATGATTCACCCCAGATATTTCCAGAATGAGAGCCTCTCTAAGCAGAATGTGGGAGAGAAATATTGGTAGAGACTTCACAGCGACCCATACAGGCACTCACTTGAGCCCAGCAAGAATCTCTGAGTTCTTTCCGGGTTCTTGTTTTCCAAATTGATTGCAGGGAAAGCCCAAGAGAACAACACCCAAAGGCTTCAGCTCTTCCTGTAGTGCATTCAGTTCTGGAGGTGAAGATTGAGCAGCATGAATAGCCTGGCTAGCAGCCAAACTCTGACCGTAGTTAGAACACATGAAACTATCGTGAATTATTTCATTACTTATTAACTAATGGATAAAAGTGACTAACGTCATTCATGACATCTCCACCCCAGCTAAAGCATCTCTCAAAGGTCCCTGGCTGTCATATGGGGATTTACTTCTATCATATGGGGATTAGAATTTCAAGATATGGTGCTGGAGCGATAGTATGGCTGGTAGGATATTTGCCTCGCACGTGGCCAACCTGGGTTTGAGCCCTGGCATCCCATATGGTTCCAGAGCCAGGAATAACCCCTGAGCATCTTCAGGCGTGACCAAAAAATAAATAAATAAATCACTGTCACTGTATCACTGTCCTCCCGTTGTTCATCAATTTGCTCGAGCGGGCCCAGTAACGTCTCTATTGGAGACTTTGTGTTACTGTGTTTGGCATGTCACATACTTCACGGGGAGCTTGCCGGGCTCTGCCCTGCGGGCAAGATACTCTCGGTAGCTTGCCAGGCTCTCCGAGAGGGGCGGAGGAATCGAACTCGGGTCGGCCATGTTGGCTGCGTGCAAGGCAAATGCCCTACCACTGGGCTATCGCTCCAGCAAATAAATAAATAAATAAATCAAGATATGAAGGCAGGGAGCAAATGCAGGGGGTAAGGCACTTAAAGCGCATATGTTTGATCCCTGGCAGCACTGAACACAGAACTGGAAATAGCCCCTGAGTGCCACCCTGAGAGTGATTCAACATCCTCCCTGCCCACACAGGAAAGAATTGCAACATGTGAATTTTAGGGGGACATCAACATTCACATCATTACACCTGCTGAATGTCCACTTTAAATATCAACATTTTGTAAACCATATGTCTTATGAAATTGCAGTTTGCTTTACACTGAAACGATGTGTTTTATGAAAGGAGATAAAAAGAAGCTGAGACCGTAGCTTTGTAGAGAACACCTGTTCTGTCTAAAGTACCAAACATGGAACATCTTCCTGAGCGATCCTGCTGCTTCCTACCGGATATGCTCTCCCTCAAGACTTTGGGCTACAGGGACTGGAGCGATAGCACAGTGGGTAGGGCGTTTGCCTTGCACGCGGCCAGACTGGGTTCCATCCCCAGCATCCCATATGGTCCCCCACCCACCACCAGGAGTGATTCCTGAGTGCAGAACCAGGAGTAACCCCTGAGCATCACCGGGTGTGACCCAAAAAGCAAAAAATAAATAAAAAACATTTGGGCTACAAACTCAACAACTCCACCCTTACTGGTATGTTCCAGATGGTCTTTGACTAAATCTCTAGGAGAATTCTCAGATCTGCTGAAAATTCTGGCTTTTGAAGGAGTAGAGCAGAGGGAGAGGTTAGGGGTAGAATCACAGAATAACCACTTTTCCCTGCTCTCACATCTTAGCAAAATGCAGAGTTTCTGAGTGGGCACAGGTCCATCGGATGAAGCTCATCCCCAAGGAATTGGAACATGAGTTCTCACCAACATACTGAGCTGTCAAGCCTCAGAAGGTGGCCACGTTGAAGAAGAGGACGTGCTGGCCCGCGTACTGCTTGAACTGGATATACTCCTCACCGTTGAGGGTGAGTGCCCCGTATTCATAGATGGTGCCCGTCACCCCCTCATAGCAATCCACCTGGAATGGAATGAAAATAACCCTAAGAAAAACATCCGTGGAGTTTTTCAAAGGTATCAAAGAACTCCCTGGCTATGCCCCCAAGCTCTTAAGAATTAGAGAGATTGTGTCAAGTAATGATTTGAGTCATGGCTGTTGCCACAGCTAGAAAATGTCTTCTCACGTAAAATCCTTTGGAGTGTGGTGAGCAAGCACTTCAGAATGTTCTCCTTATTTCTGGAAGAGTCCAACCATTTATTTTGTTCGTTCTTTGGGTTATACCCAACTGTGTTCAGGAGTCAGTCCTGGCTTCACTCTGGTGATCAGATGTGGTGTGCAGGATAGACCTGCAGTTGGCCTCATGCAAGGGAAGCGCTTTAACGCCTGTCCAAACTCTCTGGCCCCAGATTCATACACAGTATCTCCATGTTCCTACATCATGCTCTCTTCCACAGCCCAAAACTCACTTCTGGTCCTTCCAGCCCTTCTCAAGCACTCTGTTTGTTTTTGTTATGGGGTTGCACTGGCAGTGCTCAGGGCTTGCCCCTGTACTCAGGGATCACTCTTATCAAGTTCAACAACCATATGGGATGCCAGAACTAACCATTGCAAACACCCTATCTGCTATTTTATCGTTCTGACCAGGTTCTCGAGTAATCTCAACAGAATTTCTAGTTTCTTGCAGCAGAAATAAACTTTACATGTATTTCTCATCCATATCTTCTTACACTGTAATCCTCCCAGGCCCCAAATTTAGCTCCTCCTGAGGCTGACACCCACATGTGTTTTGCCAATATCAGTACTTACTATTACGTACAAAACCTCACTCCTTTTTTTTTTGGGGGGGGGGGGGGGGCTGGGGCAGCACACCCAGCAGTGTTCAGCTGTTATTACTCCTATCTCTGCACTCAAGTATCACTCATAGCAGTGCTTGGGGGACTGTGTAGGATGCCAGAGATTGTACCCAGGTCAGTCACATGCAAGGCAAGGGCTAACTCTGGGGTCTTCTCAGATTCAAGGCAGGCAGCCATGTCAACTCATCAGCCCAGTCCTTCAGATCCTGAAGTTTCTGGACCATGCGGCCGCATATGTGACTGCACAACACCTCCAAACTCCACAATACTGAAATTTCATTATGAGCACCCCAAATTAGGGGCTGGAGCGATAGTACAGAGGGTAGGGCATTTGCCTTGCACGTGGCCGACCCAGGTTCAATTCCCAGCATCCCATATGGTCCCCCAACCACCGCCAGGAGTAATTCCTGAGTGCAGAGCCAGGAGTAACCCCTGTGCATAGCCAGGTGTGACCCAAAACGAAAAAAAAAAAAGAGCACACCAAATTAGACAGGAAAGTAAAATAGAAGCCAACTAAACTCAGCAAACAAAAACAATAACACAGAAGGCTCAACTAGCAATAGACATCTTAGTAAATCCTCAAAGACAACAACCCAGTGATGAGATATAATAATTTTCACAAGTTTTCTATTACTAAAGTATTTTTGATAATCCATTTAGCCCCTTAGTTGTAACCAGAAATAGGAAATAAGTTATTGTGTGTCTGCTAAGGAGCAGGGTTGGGAAAATGGGAAAAGTGGAAAAGAAGGCCACTCTGGTGGTGGGATTGGTGTTAGAATACTGAAAGCCCATCACAACTATATTATATTTGTAAACCGTGGTGTTTGAAGAAAGTATTTTTTTAAAAGCTCATTCTTGACACACTCCTCTCATGCCCAAATTTGGGAGAAACAGCTTGGACTACTCATTGATTTGAGATTACAGAATAGGAAGCCAAAGAAAGAGACTCCCTCCCCAGAAGCAAGCCCAGGGGAGGCAGGGCCTGGAAGAGATCTCAGGACATGAGGAGAAAAACGACAGAGTTTCTGGGTAATTTAAAAGGAAGAGAGAAGCCAGCAGGCAATGTAAGCCTGTTCATTCACCTGTGCACCTCTTATCAGGGTGTGAGGTGTACTGTCTCCTTGACAAGCCCTGGACAGAAGAAAGCCAAGCCTGACCCGTGTCCAGGAATCGACAGACACATGTGCACATTCAAGAATCCATACATGGGAACATTAGCCCAAGAGAACCACTTTGGGTGGTTGGGGGAGGGGAGCTCACCTACGGCCGCACCTCCGAATTCCTCCATGCGCTCTCAGCTCTGGGTTAACAATTTCTAGCATTTGCCTTTCTTGATACTTAAATACCAAACCACAGAAACCCTGGGATGGGGACACCACGTGTGTGTGTCTGCCCTGTCCTTGCCTTCCTGTTACCTCCTGCTGGGTCCCCTACCTGGCTATCACCCTGTGAAGTGAGGCAGAAAACCCCAAGAACACTGCAGGTTTGATGAGTTCTGACTTTCTGGCTCACCTTTCAGTTCCGTTCCAGTTTGCTGAGGGCTATTTGGGGGAGGAGGCCACAAAACAGCTTTTATGCTTAGCGTTGAGTTTCTCCAACAAATTCCACCCTCACCAGGGAGCTATGACTGACGAAGACCCAGGTGCTGCCTTGCATTCTTTCATAACCGGAAACGGATGTTCAACAACCTAGAACATTCTTTTCTTGGGGGAGAGGGGGCGCACCACACACCTGGAGATGCTCAGCGGTTACTCGCGGCTTTGCCCTCAGGAGTCACCCTAGGCAGTGCTCATAGGGGGATCATATGGGCTGCCCAGGATTGAACCCAGGCCAGCTGCCTGCAAAGCAAGCACCTTACCCACTGTACTATTTCTCCGGCCCCCTGTCTAGGACATTTTATTGTTCTATTGTTTGTTTTTTATTTTTTAAGCCACACTCAGCAGTGCTCAGGGCTTACTCCTGGTGCTGTGCTCAGGGATCACACCTGGTGGTACTCAGTACTACACCCCAACAGGTGCCAGGGATTGATCCTTGTGCAAGGCAAGTGCTTCAGCCCCTGTACACAGGCCCAGGGCAGTTGAAAGCATCATCTATTTCACACAACCCAGTAACTGGGCAGTGGTCTGAGGAGACTCCATCCCCAGCACATATTAGCTGGGAGCATGTCAGAAAGGGGGGCAAATTCCTAGACACCCCAAAGATCTACTGAATCCAAAACCTGGGCCAGGGGACCCAGCAATCTTGTTCTCACAAGCCCTCCAGGTAATGATTAGGAGCCGGAAAACTGAGAAAGGCTGGATTCACTCTACCTTTGACAAGGGAGAGAAAGCGCTGGTGAGAGATTCGAACCCTGAAGGCTGGACCCTGTTACCTCCCCACCCCCAACACACGGGGTCTTCATAGGATGCTCCCCCCGGCATCCGAGGAAGGGACAGATCTGAAGGGCTGGAGGGGGGGGGGGGAAGAACAGCATCAAGACTTCAGAGCGAGTCCTTGTCCCCTAAAATCAAACCGACCCAGGCCCCAACTTAAGGACCTCTCTGTGCCCCGATAAACTTCTGTCCCTGGAACTCTTCTGAGCACGTTCAGCACCGTTGGCTTTTCCTCCTCCCCTGGGGTTCCAGCCTGCCCAAGAGCGTCCTGCCACTTGCTCGGTTTCCCCTTTTCCCGGGCCCCCCAAGGTTGCCCCAAGGTCCAGGTCTAGTCGAGGGGCCGGGCGGGGGTCCAGCCAGGAGTCCGGCCGCCTTCCAGGGAGGGAAGAATGCCCGGGGATGGGGGAGGGGAGCTTCTCCCCAGGGGCGGGGCAGGGTCCGGGCACGTGTTTGCTGGAGCTGGGCTGGCGGCTGGGGTTCTGGGGTCAGGCCAAGCGAGACCCCCTGCCAGCCCCCCACCCGCGGGACGCTGACCTTCATCGGCTGCTGCTGCGGCTGCCGGACCGCCTGGGTCAAGCCCGCGAGGAGGAGCGCGACGAGCCCAGAGGCCCAGGGTCGTACCATGGTCCGGCTGGGGAGTCCCGAGGGTCACTCTGAGCGCCCCGGGGTGCTGATGAACCCCTGGGGGGTACCGCCCACAACGCGCCCTCCAATCGCTGCGCCGCACTCACGACGCGCCCCTAACCCTCCCCGCCCCCTAATCCTCCTGCTGCCGCCCATCAGCCCAGCCCCCCGCTCTGCCCCCTCCCGGACCTGCCAGCACTCCGACCCACCCCCCACCCGGAGCCGAAACCCCACCCCGACCTGGTCCCCACCCGGACCTGTTCGCCCCCCCCTCCCCCCCGCCCCGCGCGCTGGACCACCGGTTGCAGGCGGGGTGGGAGTGATGCTTTGGGTTTTGTCCAATTTTATCTCATCATCATCATCACCATCATCATCGTCATTATCACTTTCTCGGCCCCTCCCAGTGACCGGCAGTTCCCAGATGCGGATCCCCCAGGAGTGCAAACCGCCCCCCCCATCCGGGTCCGCTTTTGAAACAGGGTCGCGCACGCCCCCCTCCCGCGCAGCCGGGACTTGGAGCGGGCTTTGCTAGTCCGACGGCTCTTTAGGGTGGCACGAGTCGCCTCCAACCGTGCTCGCTCAGCCAGCACGTTGCAGTTCCTACACAACAAACGCACTTTGCACTTAGCTGGCCCAGCGGTCTCTGCACCCGGAGCCCGGCTTGTTGCAACAGGAGCGCTACGGAAGGGGCGCGCGCGTTGGCAACGGAGCTGGGGACGGTCTTGCGCGCGGGTCCCGGGCTCTGAAAGGGACCGTGGTCTCCCGGAGGCCCTAGTGAGACCCTGGTGAGACGCTGACCAGAGGGCTGTCTGCAGGAGTTTTCCATTTCCGCTTCCCTCCTATTGACTGGATGAGAACGTCTCCCCCCACTTCTAAGCTGCTTTTCAGGTTCGCACAAAAAGGCTTTCTCTGGGGTTGGCGAGGATTGGATTCTCGCTCTCTCCCTCGCAAGGCAAGGCTCCTTATCTCCGATTTCTGATCTCAGAGGCCTGAGCCCTGACTAAAACCGGATCCGGCAGCCGGTCCCCTGTGCAGCCACGCGGAAAGCGCCCTTCCTTCTTCGGGCACAGCCCACACACGTTCCCATCTCTGGCCTGTTACCATTGCCAGCTCAAAGCTCAGTGTCACTTAGACTAGGACTCAGTCTTTGGAGTTTTTTTTTTTTAACCCCTTTGGAGGACCGATCCGCTTCCTTGTCTCTGGAAGTGTGAATATCTATGTGTCTTAATTTTCCATCTTTGTGACACTTGGGTAACTTCCTGGATGTTGTGAGTACAAAATAGGTTCATATTTGGACAGGAGAAACAGTAGGGGGGGGGTAGGACGCTTGCCTTGTGTGTGGCTTATCCAAGTTCCAACCCAAGCCCACTAATGGTCACTATTGAACACAGAGCTAGGAATAGTCCCTGAGCAATTGAGGCATTGCTGAGAATTGCCCCAAGTGTGCACCCCAGCCTCCCACACTCCCCCCCCCATCAATAATCACAGATAGAAGAAGGAGGAGGAGGAGGAGGAGGTGGAGGAGGAGGAGGAGGAGGAGAAGGAGGAGGAGGAGGAGGAGAAGGAGGAGGAGGAGGAAAAAGAAGAAGAAGAAGAAGAAGAAGAAGAAGAAGAAGAAGAAGAAGAAGAAGAAGAAGAAGAAGAAGAAGAAGAAGAAGAAGAAGAAGAAGAAGAAGAAGAAGAAGAAGAAGAAGAAGAGAACTCGATCAGGCACATCTAGGAACTTAAAAAAAAAAACCATCACCCAAATAACCAGAAGGTTAGTACTTTGTCCCCCTCCTAAACAAGAATATGATCAGAGATCACAACTAGGTAATTTCACAGTGTTATAGACCCATTATTTGTCAACCTGAAATTCACAGTCAAGTGCGTTCTGATCCAAAATCCCAACTCTGAAATAATGGCTGTTCAAAGAGATGAGATTTTAATCTCTGGGACCTGTGAATGTTATCTTCTGTGGCAAAGATGGGAAGGTGCGATTAAGGCTCTTGATCCCTCCCAGAGATTAGCCTGGATTATCTGGGTGAGGACTGAGTTCTATCAAGAGGGATTTACACAGGAAATAGGTGGTTAAGGAATCTAGAGGCTGGGGGGACCCTACGGGGGTGCTGAGGAGCAAACCTGGGTCGGCCGCATGCAAGGAGAGCCCCCTACCCACTGTGCTCTCTCCAGCCCCCTACTTTGGTGATTTCTGATGCAATTTCCTCTCTAATTGTGCAAACTGAGCTCCGTAGAGTTATTTCCCCCATTGGGCCATACCCTAGAATGGTGGGTAACGGTTTACAGTCTGTATTAGTGATATGGAGCAATTTCTTCTCTCCCTGGAAACAGCAGGGCCTAGAGACCCGAGAACTAAGCAGGCAGGCAGCTGACTTTGGATGGCATTGGGAACGTCCTTGGTTTATGTGGGAGCCTGGTTCTCTCCCGATCCCCTGCCCTGGTACTAAGACAGGAGCAATAGATAAGAAAGCTAGCTAGGAAAGAACACACCATTCTTCCCCTCTTCCCCCTTCCCAGTTTCCAAGAATCCAGGTTCTTCCGGGAGCAGATTGGGGGAGGAGGCCTTAGCATCAGTAACACACCTTCAGAAAGTATGTGGCAGGCCCAGATGCCTCCGTGAAAGCCCAGGGACCTGTGCAGATGACACCAAAGTCCCAAACTTCACCCAATTCAAGATGAGGAGGGTTAGAAGGTTAAAAATGCATGAGGATCAAAAATTAAGTGTAAATCAGAGTGGTCTCTTTAGAACTTTCCTACCTTACCAAACACATTTATGAGAAAATGATGCACCTAAAGAAAAAAGTAATTTGAAGTACAAAGTTGTACTAGAGAGATAGTACAGTGAGTGGATAAGGCGCTTGCCTTGCATGCAGTTGACCCAGTGTCAATCCCGGGCACCCCACAGGGTTCCCTGAGCCGCCACAAGTGATCCCTGAGTGAAAGCCCTGAGCACAGTCTGGTGTGGTGCAAAAACAAACACATCGATAACATAAAAAGACAGGGCTGGAATGATAGCACAGTGGGTAGGGCATTTGCCTTACATGCGGCCGACCTGGGTTCGATCCCCAATATCCCATATGGTTCCCTGAGCACTGCCAGGAGTAATTCTTGAGTGCAGAGCCAGGAGTAACCCCTGTGCATTGCTGGGTGTGATAAAAAAAAGCCAAAAAAACCCCAAAACAACATAAAAAGACAATAATTAAACAAAAAGTCAAGTGAATGGTTAATGGAGAAATTTCTGAGTGCAAGCCAGGAAGTAACCTCTGAGCATCACCAGATGAGACACAAAAAGCCAAAAGAAAAAAAAAAATTCTGCCTCAAGGAAATAATGGAGTCAGCGTGGGAAAACTCGGCAATGACTGAGGGGAGGGGAGCAGCTTACTGTAAATAAACAGCTTATTGTACATGGCACTTATTTACTTATTCTAAGTGTTTACTTACTTATTTCTATTTGTATTTGGGGACCACACCTGGAGGTGCTCAGGGTTTCATACTGGAGGGTTCAAGGGACCACATATGGAGCTGCGGATGGAACCAGAGTCGCTGTACGTAAGGCAAACACTCCAGCCCCCTAAAGCAGAGTTTTTTTAAGGGCTAAAGTCAAAAAAGGATCCACCTTTTTTTTTTTATGCTTGGCTTCTTTTTGTGGTTTTAGATGCCTTTCCTATTCCTTCCACTCATCCACCCCACCCCCACTGCAGTCTGAGATCCTGACCATATTTGGCCGTTTTAATTGGTTGCCATGGTAACTATGAAACTCTCATGGCTCTGGTGGGTGCAAGCTGGGTGTGTCAAAGCATTGTTATGACTATAAAATGAGCCAGAGTTGTCTCGGGTCACCTAGGAGTGACCTGCATTTGTACCCACTGGTCGTAAGGAAGGGAGAGACCTTTCAGGGCAAGAAACTACGATTTTGCCCCTCAGGGAGGACTGAGCTTGTTATTGTAATGTGGGTCCCTCCGAGAAGTTGCATCGCAATGATGGTACGTGATTGGCTTGTGCTGTGCAGTGTGCGACACTTTGAAGATCTGAAACCTCTTAGCAGAGACCCTGATGGACGGTACGAAGAGGAAGCATGACAGAACTTGGGAGCCCATGAGAGACACACCCTCAGTCCCTCATGACCGTGAGCTCTAGAACCTTCCTTTATATTCAGACTTCCTGCTTCCAGGGAAATGATGGGAAAGGCAGAGGTTTTAGGCCCCTTGATACAACAATTGCAGAAGAATTTATCTCAAGAATGTTACTGGGTGTGTGATGAGGAAAGAGATAATGAGAAGGCAAGGAATGTAGAACAGCTCATAATTCTTTTATGTTTGTTTTTGAGTCACACAGGGCAGTGCTCAAGGATGACTCCTGGCAGGGCTCAGAGACCCTATGTTGCACCAAGCTCCGGTCAGCTCCATGCAAGGCAAGACCTCTACCCACTATCACTCGGACCCTAGCTGCTCTCACTAAACATATGAATGGAAAGGAATCAGTTATTTTCTATATTGTTGAATTAACAATGCCTTAGGCCAAGTCCAGTATAAACATTTAAATGAATTATTTCCCCTTTTTGATGGGCTCTATGAAGTCCAGATTGTTCTTCCACTTCGACAAATGAAAGCCACAGGCAGAGATGGCCAATTCTGTCCAAATTCAGGAAGCCTGGAAAGGAAGACGGAACTGAAGCCTAATAATATGTTTGAGGCTTGGTATTTTCGTCTCCGCCATCCTTGGAACTGTGACAGCCAGGGGCCAAGGAGGAACTAACACAAGGAACCTGCGCTGCTCCCGCTGCCGCTGCCGTTTGGGGAGCTTTGTGGCTGGCTCAGAGAACGCTATCTTGGGTTCGGCCCCCTAGATTAGAGGTCGCTGAGAAGAGATCAGAAGCCAGGAATAACAAGTCTGTTCTACTCCAGCAGCAAGAATGAAAGCTCTTTCAGTCTTCAGTCTTAAGGAGGGGGGCAGCTCTTTGTGGGACCCGGGATGAGGCAGAGCTGGTGGGAAAGAAACTT